TGGTGATGACATATGGTGCATCCCACTCATGCAAGCAAGCACTAGTTTCAGTAATACTAAATTTGGACTCACAACAAAAATATCCATGCTGAATATCTCTTACCATTCATACTAGGTTGCTTTTTTCTATTAAATTGGCTACCATTCTTGTGAGTGATGGATGTTTGCAATTCCCAGTTTCAGACACCATGATGAAGAAAGATCTCTTGGAAAAACCAAGGTGGTAACCATGCTCTTTTTTTTAATTCCATCACTTTTCCCTGCTTCACCCTCCCATAATTCCTTGCTATTCAGTTTTGAACCAGCTCAACCCTGAATTCTAGTCCTGTGAGCACTGGCCCTCCAAAGTGAAGCACTTTAAGATCCCATTTGTCTCAGCAGGAAAGAGCCTGCAGCAATCTCTGAGTAAAATTAATGGGGATTGAAAGGTGACTGACTTCAAACTCAGAGGACCTTATCCCACGCTGCTCTCAAAAGTGGCAAGAAAGCGATATGAGCATCATTGCAGTACTATAGCGCTAGTATAAATATGGCGCTAGCGCTATAATAGCGCTATGGATAAGCTAGCGCTATTGCAATGCCCGCTGAAACCGACATTCAAAAGAACCCGAATGATGCTGCATTCCGAGCGGTTTCTTGTTGGATTCTGAGCGACGTCGTGTAATCACCCGGAAAACTATAGCGCTATAGCGCCTGATTCTTAGCGGATTCTGAGCGACATCGTGTGATCACCCGGAAAACTATAGCGCTATAGTGCCTGATTCTTAGCCGATTCTGAGCGACGTCGTGTGATCACCCGGGAATGTATAGCGCTATGGCGCCTGATTCTTAGTGGATTCTTGCTGCTTTTGTCCCCGTGGGATAAGGTCATAAGATTCATAGAGGAAATCCAAACCATGCAAGCTGAGTTCATACTGGTGAAACAAATATACATAAACTACAGATTTCTGCTACCTGGAGTGAATAAACAATCTCTTCTGAAAGCTGAGATGTGTGAGAGCATTATATGAATCTTGGTCTTTTCTTTCTTTCTTTTTAAACAGCCATGAGGCACTCCCACTGAAATCATAGTGTACAGGACTGAAACAACAGAATTAGAATCATAGTATATATGGAGGGAAAGTTAACCTTGCCTCTTATGTTGTGATCCTGATAAAATCCCTCTCCCAGCTGCTATTTTCCATAACAGGGAAGATACTAACAGTGCTAATAATATATTGACTACTATGCTGTTGATGACATGCACCACTATAACTGAAGGTTAAGCCTCTGTGTGGACTTTTCTTGGAGTTGAGAATGGAAGGCACCAAGATTGTTCCTGCTTCCCTTTGTGTTTAAGAGCAGCCAGAATAAGCCCAAGCACACCCTGAAACTGGTCATGGACTGGAGACATGGAGCTGGACCCACCATTCCCTCAGCTGTTGTTGTGTATTGTGAGATTCAGTTGGACAAAAGGAGCAGCCTATGTACACTCCAAGAAATCTATGGATGGTGTCAGATCTTGGCCATTCCCTCCTGCAGCAGATACTTTCAGAGATGTGGTTTTCATCAGAACTGTGGCAGAATAAGAGGGAAGAGTTAAGACTCTCTAACAAGGACTCTCTGACAAGAAATATCTTTTGAGGACAAAATTACTTGTCTGCATTCTGGCCATGATGACACAATTAAATGCACAGCCAAAGGTCAACCTGTCTGCAGCATCATCTAAGCAAGTTCCATGGGATATATTCCAATAGCTGTAGCCTGATGATACTGAGAAGATTCCTGCAGGGATCAAACCAACCATTTAGGTCCAAAGCACACTGCAGAAGCAATCCAGTTTGAGACCGCTTTAACTGCCCTTGTTCAGTGCTAGCGAATCCTGGGAACTGTAGTTTATTGTGACACCAGAGCTCTCTGATAGAGAAGACTAAATATCTCACAAAAACATAGTTCCCAGAATTCCTTAGCATTGAGCCAGGGCAGTTAAAGCAGTCTCAGACTGGTTTATTTCTGCAGTATGTTTTGGACTTATCTCTCTCAGAAGGCAGTCTGCTTTGGATGAGGCAGCACTCTCCCTGAAAGAAGACGTTACATAGCTTGGAGATTATTCTTTGATTCCAGACTGTCACTGAAATAATTTTGGTTTCGAGGGGTACCCATGGGCATATTTAACTGGTTTATTAGCCATGTACATTTTTGAAACAGGGTAATATAGCCTCAGTAACATCCTCAACAGCAGGAATATAATAATCTGTTAGTCCCATTTCAGACTGGTCACAGTTTGGAAAAACAAAACAAAACACCTTTCATTTGTTTGGGAAATCAGGATTTTTTTAAATAAAAAAGTTGATATGGCAAACTGCTGTTTTACTTCACTTAAGGTACAGTCCTTTTAAGAATGTTTGCATTGCTCTTTTATCAATGTTGGTATTTTGTGCCATTAGGTAACCTCTGTTCCAGGGTTGGAAGAAGGGTAGGATATATGAATAGAAAAGAAATAAATATTCACATTTCTAGAAAACAGTTTTCAGGAATAATTGAAGCGTTATTGCTTGGATTCTTTTAGAATTCCAATGTTATCATTTTCTATCTTAGCATAACATGTTTGTGTTGCTGTGTATAATACTTTGATATACAGAAAGTAAAAATAATGTCATATTAAAATAATGGGCAAAATACCAGAAGAGGTCACACGGGACAAGTAGGTCACCTTTTCACTGAGACATCTTTGATATGCTAACTAATGAAGCACCAAATGAATTTTTGGTTAAAAACTAGAAGCCAGATGCAGAATGTACAGATAATGACAGGGCTTATTATTGTTTAACCCCAAAGATATTTTTAATGAGGCCTGGAATATGAGAGATAGTAGTGACCTAAATACCCTGAAGGCATTAGATCCCATCTGATCTTGGAAGCTAAGCAGGGTCAAGCCTGGTTAGTACATGGAAGGAAGAACACTAGGTAATACCAAGTACAGTAGACAATAGGCAGAAGTGGGCAATAAAAATCATGGAGTCAACATAAATTGACAGGCAAATTGAAGGCATATACTACTGTCTCTAAACATGTGCCTTTGAATGTAGTCCTCTCTGCACTGAAAACTTTGGGTCATTTCTACATATGGTTGTCAAATGGTTATCTTTTGCTCTGGAAAGAAAAGCTGTACCCTCTGTTTTCAGAGTGTGTGCTTATAGGGTCCACAGTGTAGAGGAAAAACAATAATTTCACACATGCTGTTTCTAGAAATAGATAGAATTTTTAGGACTATCGAGAATATATTACCACAGGGCTTTTATTGTCTCCAGACAAATAGAAGAATAAAGGATACATCATGAATTCATTTCATAATAAAACTGTATCATATACTAGAACTAGAAAAATGACTGCACTGAGTATAGCCAGATATGCTCTAAAAGACATATTCAACAGAAAAGGAAGAAGTGTTTTCTAACTATGCCATGGAATTTTACCCACCAGGAAGAGTCTCCTCTTTGACAAGTCCTTTAGCCTCTACCTCAATTCCACTGGATTTATTAGGAAACCTTACAGAAAATTTTCTGAGACTTCATGCTGCCAAGTATGACTAAATACTTATATTTTCCACCAGAGGTTTTTTTTTTTTTTTGGTTAATAGCTGTGCTACCTCACAGACTAGACCAAATTATTCTTGTGAGATCAGAACTATAAAGATGTAGGGTGACAATCTTGAAGAAATTTGGGCTAGAAGAAGTCTGAACTGGGTTATGAATCACTTGCCACCTACTTGTTTCTGGCTCAATGAGAAAGCTGGATGAGCTCAATGTCCATCTGACTCAACATGACATGCTGCATTCTCATGTGCAACACATAAATGTGAAGAATGTGAAGAATAATCACACAATTTCTTGCTTTCAATAAGAGAGGCTGTCTTGACATGTCACAATGTCCTGTTAAGAAATCATCAGTCTTTCCAAAAGAATTACTGCTTCCATTGCAAGAACAAGACAACCACCAGGTTTTCTGTAATTTGTGCCCAAAGGTTCTGCGCAAACTCCTTTTGAAGCAAAGTACAGAGCAAGCCAAGAAGGACTGAATGATAAAAAGGGACAGATAAAACACTAATATTTCTAATTTGTAAAGGTTCATGCACTAAAACAGCAGCTATCACAGTCTGCACAGAAACTGCTGTTGCAATTTGTGGTGGTGGTGGTGGGGATGCTCTCACAAATGCAAAAACAAAACAAAATTCTGTTGCCCAGAACACAAGAAAATATATTTACTTGGATGAGGAGGAAAATGTTCATGTTCCTTATTTTTGCCCATGACAATGTGACAAGTTAGGTTTTCATTTCTAGTGCAAAAGCATTCCCATCTATTTACATTCACAGCAGGGCTGGCCAAGACATTTTTTTGTCTGAATTAAATATCAAGATTGCATCCCACCCATGCCACTGAAGGTTTGGAACATTATTTCAAGAATAGTGACAGGTCCACATCTTACACTACAATTGAGAAGAGCACACCTGTTTCTAGGGGCTAGATGTCACACAAACAAACAGAATTGTCCTCCAACTTCATGCCACAACTGCATTCTCCTTCAACATTTCACTGATGAAAACTGGGACATGTGTGGGCAAACAACACCAGAGGGTGATTGAGAGGGCAAAATTTATTTATTTATTGAATTTATATCCTTCCTTTCAGCTTTGTTGTTGTTGTTGATGATGCTGCTGTTGTTGTATACCTTACAAGTTGTTTTTCACTTATGGTGACCCTAAGGCAAACCAGCAAGCTTTCACCACCAAGTGGGGAATTGAATCCTGATTTCTAGAGTTGTAGTTTAACACTCAAATCACTGACCTTAACTGCACAGAGCATCTGAGTATATATCATATTTTAAAAATATTTTTATTGGTGGATTATGTGACTTTGACTTGTTAGAAAAGGCTATGCAGGACTCAGTTTTAACCTGCCATTAAGCTGTTTAAATTTCAGTAAGGAAAATGGTATTTAAACAACTTAATGCTCAAATGACAGCCAGGGTGGTGTAGTGGTTTGAACATTGGACTATGAACTATGGAGACCAGGGTTCAAATCCCAACTTGGCCATGAAACCCATTGGCTGACCTTGGGCAAGTCACTCTCTCTCAGCCTTAGAGGATGGCAATGACAAATCTCCTCTGAAGAAACCTGCCAAGAAAACCCTGTGATGAGTCTCCATAAGTTGGAAACAACTTGAAGGCACATAACACATACACTCAAGGCTCAAATAAGATACAATGTCCTGCCTATGCAGCCACTGTTGAACCATACCTCTGACTCTCTTTCCCCTGAGTTCAAATTCACATTAAATCATTATAGCACTATGATTTCACATTAACTGCCATGGCAACCTTTGGAGGAATGCTGGGCTTTACAGTTTACAGAATACTTAGCAAGGGAGTTCTAGTGTTGCAAACTTCCAACTCCAGGATTTCATAGGATGTTGCCATGGCAGTTAAAGCAAGATCACAGCGCTATAATTGTGTAGTGTGGAAAGGCCCATGTCAACATCCTAGGAAAAGATCACTTGTTACATGATGTTACTGGGCTCAGAGCTCACAGTCCTTTATTTCTTTGGTTCCTATGGGACTCAAAGCTAAGGGAAACTCTCAATCAGAGCTCAGAAACAGTTACCCACCTTTTTTTCCAGTGAGCTGTAGTATTCAGTGAGCTGTAGGAGAATTCAGTGAGATGTAGTATAAAAAAGTGGTTCTTCTATACTCTGAGTCAGAGTGCAATGAATTCTCTCAGATAATGTTTTTCTATATGTTTCCATGGAGTTGTGGCTTGGCAACAGCCACACATCTCCTGTAACACCTACTTTATGCATGACTTTGGTATACAAGTGAAGCATTGAGTTATTCCTTGGCAAAGAGGCAAAATTTCAGAATACACCTAGTTAAAGTCATCAAGCAACCCTTCTTAAATCAAACACCATTTTACCAAAAGAGAAAAGACTTCTTCTTCCTTTTGGTCCATGCTGTCACACCTTGTCATTATTTCCCACTTATTGAGATCTGTTCACCCAGAGCTCTCCCTCATTCCTTATAATGCAACCTTAAGTAATTCCATGTTTATCAACTGGAAAGTGGAATAAGATTGCTCTAAAACATAACATAGTGGTTTCCATGTGTTGGAGGACTTCCTACAGGTGTAGAATTATATAACTTTGTAAATAAAAGAAAAAATAACAATAAAATAGCTACTTGAATTTCTAGGATGTAAGGAATGGTATATAGAGAAATCAATATCAACATGACTTACCTCTATTCCTGGGGCTGGGACATTGATTATTATTATTTTTTTTTGAACTTCAAGAATAGGAACTTCTGCCTTTGCTATAGGGAATGGAAAAAGTATTTGAAAATATTTGATAAATGGCTGAAAAATGTGTTAGGAGACCCTGACAAGGACAATATGGCTCTGAAGAGAATCTTTGCAGTTTGAGACTTATTCTGCACAATATTCACACTTTTGTGCTGAAAACAGAAAACACAGAGAATAATATCTTTGCATAGAAATATTGTTTTCTGTTTAAAAAAAATGCTAGTCTCCAAATGGCCACCTCACTCTCCCTCCTACTTGTCCATCTTCATGTCCTTATTTTCCTTGCCAGCAGGCATGATGCAGGTGTGTCTGCTAGGATCCCATCCCTGGCTGGAGATCTCTGGAATACATCACCAAAAAAGCACTTTCTCCCTTGTGGTTTAAAAGGAGAGGCTTAGCTTGAAAAATGAAATGATCAAGTAGTATGTACATTGATCTTGCTCTTTCAAGCACAGCTCGGACAAGTTACTATTTTGGATTACAATGGGCACAGGGACTCTGGGATTTGTAGTGCAAAGTAGAGAGCTCTGCTCACATGAGGCTCTTGTGATGAATTTCGTTCATTGTAACCCAGAACATATGTGAACTGCATGCTGCAGATACCAATCAGGCTTGATCTTGCCTGTGCTCCCTATTCAAATTACAAGGAGTGTCCAGAAAAAGTCCTCAACAAACTGAGGGCATAACTGTCACTGATTATAGTTTTACATCATTCGCTTAGTAAACCATTCCACATTTTCCCACTCATTCATCTGTCACAGCAGCTTAGATCCTAATAAAGCATGAAAACATAATTGTTTTTGCATGATTTCTCACTGCTGAACCTATTTCCAAGGCTGCTGCTGTTGTGATATGTGAAATGAATTATTTAACTTACATAATTTTCTCAAAGATATTTGTTTTGTGTGCATGCAGGTGAGGGGGCTGGAAATACTGATTGAGTTCCTCACTATGTGGAATTTTGAAACTTGGACCCAACCAACTAATACTTAAATACTATCATTTCAGTCAATGGCTCTTAGTTTTATCTGTTGCTTCTATTACATACTGTCTTAATCTTTATTTTGTTTTACAGTATCAACCCCTCTGCATTTCCTTACTAAGAAGCTATTTCAGAAGCAGAGACACAGAAGTTACTTTTAAAAAGTAATTGATTCCCATTATTTATTCAGTATTTTAAAATAAGTTATTTCTTTACTTGTTGCTTTTTTAAAAAACTCATTAAGTTTCTTGTTGCATTCTTATTACTTTTCTATTACTTTCTCTTACTTTTGTGGAGGTAGGAATTTTGGATTGGAAAGAGAATGTCATGAACTTATTACAAAATGCCCCTGATAATATCTTAATATGTCTTTTAATAATAACAAAATAACAAAAATAAGTTCTGAAAGTAGAGATGTAAAGCTTTGCATATTTTATTCTTGCATACAATCACAAACAATATCAAAGTTTTCTCTGTATTGGTGAGATTACAAGCTTTTTTGTACATTTTTTCATTTTTTGCATTTTGGGACTTAGTTGTAAAAAAGTTTCTTCAATCAATGGAGATTTTCACACAAAAATGTATGTTTTTTATGCACAAAAAAAAATTTCTGCAAGATACCCTGCTTTTTGTGCAAAATGTTGGGTTTTGCACAAACCATTCTCTTCCTCATGTCCCAAATTAAGAAAAAGCTTGCAGTGGTTGGCCATTTTGTTTGACTTGGTGTCCCAATGTATTGAGTCATCTTTTTCTTTCTTTTTATTATAGTGGGTTGGGGTATTAATTTTGTTGTATGGGGTTTTAACTGATGTAAGCCGCTTAGATTGTCTTCATTTAAGCGGGGTATAAATAAATTTTATTATTATTATTATTATTATTATTATTATTATTATTATTATCAAGAATGAGCAAATCTGTGTTTTTTACATGTCTATCTGAGAGTAACTAGGATGTGTTGCTTCTTGTATCAGTAAAGTAACCCCTCTCCTACTTATTCTGTTACTTTTGAAATCTGACTTCTTTGTTCCCTCATTATTTCAAGAAGTAACTCATTACTCCAAGAAGTAACTAGTTATAATCACCTAGTTTATTTGTATCTCAGTCTGCATCTGCACTGCACAAATAATTTGTAAAACCAACCAATTCCCAGAATTCTATAGCATTGAGCCAGGGCTGTTAGTGTCAAACTGGGTTATTTCTGAATGTGGATGAGGTGTCAGTGGTGTCTCATGGCTTTCATGGCTCCTACTCCAGGTTTTAGTCTTCATGTTGAAGGAGCTGTCCACAGAACTGAATTCTGTCTACCAAATAGGAGGCCATCCTCTTCTAAATATATTAGACTATTCCTCCCACCTGCAGGTTAGGAGACATTTTAATACACAAGAATGAAGGTGATGGTCCCCATGAGGAAAATAATAAAAAAATGTCTCACACCATATTTTACATTACTTAGAGCCTTTGCAG